ATAGATAGATAGATAGATAGATAGATAGATAGATAGATAGATAGATACGATAGATACGATAGATACGATAGATACGATAGATATAGAGAGAGATACTGTAGTTAGGTGTGTCGATCACTGGATGCAACTTTTTGTTTTTTGGAGAAACAATTGCAATCTTGTACTAGCGTTCAAGTCTCCTTAATGGCATTATGTGTGCTTGGGCAGCTTCTGAAATCAGAGAACATTGACTTCTTTTTTTTTGCTGCTACATGTCATGTGTGGCTTGGTTTGCAACTCATACTAGAGTTAATATGTCAAACCTGGATCCAAGAAACAGTACTTGAGTTTAAGTTCTGCATGCCTGATATGATTTGAATCATTCTCCTGAATATTTCAGACAGCAAAATAGACATCGCCAATGGATTCCTAGCACATTGATATGGTTAGGAGGGGGCTGAATTTTTGCACCCACCCTATCTACATTTCCTGGTAAAGTACATGGGAAAATCCCATAGGGGGGCAAACCCACTTAGGGTTAGGTCCCCATGAATTTGGAGAGCCAATGGATTCCTAGTGCATCGCTATGCTTAGGAAGGGGGTGACTTTTCAAACCTGCCCTATCTATGTTTCCTGGTAAAATACATGGGAAAATCCCCCTTAGCGTTAAGGTTAGGTCTCCATGACCTAGGTAAGGAAGATGAACATCTTCAACAGATTCGTAGCACATCAGTATGTTTAGGAGGGAGCGGTCTTATTATTTTTGATGCAAATAACACCATTTCTACATTACAAACTGTAAAATGTTTTGGTTGAGATTCCCACTGGAGAAAAAAAAAAAAAAACAAGCACAGACTTTCATCCCAAACCCAAACTGCATGCTGTCATTAGTATAATAAAAATATTTTAAAAGGTCTTTTAATAGTTATTATCACAGAAAAGTTTTCTGTCCCTCCCATAAGTTATTGTCATCATTTAGTGCCATCTCACAAATGCAAATAACAGTCAAAAGTCTGCATCCAACAATACAGTGAATGCATTTTTATAGCCCAGGTGCATCTTTTGTCTTTTTTAAACAAACATCATGGATTACAAAGAAATTTTGCCTGACAAAACTGTCTTCAATCAGGTCAGCCTGACGTGTTCACTGAGAATGATGGAAGCTGTAATATAACATGGAGGCAACTGGGATGAGATGGTGATAGAGGAAGAGGCTACTCTACAGGTAGTCTTCAACTTAGGACCACAACGGAGCCTAAAATTTATGTTGCTAAGTGAGAAGTTTGTTGAGAGACTTTTGCCCCATTTTATGACTTTTCCTGCTGCATTTGTTAAGCGAATCACTGCAATTGTTAGTTGAGTAGCCCGCTTGTTAAGTGGATCTGGTTTTTCCCCATCAACTTTGCTTGTTTGAAGGTTGCAAAGGGGGATCACACAACCCCGGGACATTGCAACCCTCGTAAATATGAACCAGTTGTCAAGCAAGTGGTTGTAAATCACTGGTTGTAAATCACGTGACCATGAGGATGCTGCATCGGTCATAAGGGTGAAAGATGGGCATAAGTCACTTTTTTCGTGCGACTCTACCATTTTATCTCTATGGGAAACAACAACTTCCTTTCTGGCCTCCCTTTTTCTCAACAAGGAAGGCGTTGCCATAGATCTATTAAAGTCAAGAGGCGCAACCCTGAAATCGTGGCAAGGTGGAAAAGCAACCGACCGCCATTTTTTTTTGTTCCCTAAATAAATCACTGCGAGGAAGCCCGCCCCTTCCGCTCAGGGGCCAGGTCGCGGCCCGGTGACGTCACCGAGCAGCGCCGGGGCCGTGGCTCCGGCCTGAGCATTGGGCTTCGCTCGGCATGGCGGACATGGAGGAACTCTTCGGGAGCGACGCCGACACGGAACCGGAGCAAAAAGGTAGGGGTGAGGAAGTAGGGCGAGGGAGCGGGTCGCGCATGCGCGGGGGGCCTGCCCCAATTTGGAAACGCAGCCGGAGAACATTTCGGGGTTCCCTTCCTTCCTTTTCTTTCCTTCCTTCTTCCATTCCTTTTCTTCCTTTTCCTTCCTTCTTTTCTTGCTACCTTCCTTCCTTCTTCCCTTCCTTCTTCCCTTCCTTCCTTTTCCTTCCCTCCCTCCTTTCTTTTCCTTCCTTCCTTCCTTCCTTCCTTCCTTCCTCTCTTCCTGCCTTCTTTCCTTCCTTCATTTCTTCCTTCCTTTTCCTTCCTTCTCTCCTTCCTTCCTTCCTTCCTTCCTTCTTTTTTCCCCCTCCCTTCCTCTGAGCATGTGCAGAGGGCCTTTTCAGGCTCCACCCATTTTTTAGGGTTCCTTGTTAGCAGGCAGGAGTATTAGGAATGTGCACTTTCTTGAGTTATATTATAAAAAAGGCAGGATAAAACTATAATAATAAATTTTGGTTCAGTGTCAGAAAGTTTAATTGGAAAAAAACATTCCAGTTGTGAAACCAGTCTTTCTGAGGTTGGAAAATTGAATGTCCACGTAGGTGCATGGAAATACACTTCTTGCAGGTTTCCCCCCTATTTGCGGCCTTTTCCAACCGTCCGTTTCCTCCTTTGCCTGTTCAGATATCTGGTAACCCCACTCCTGTTTGCTGCTGGCTCTCTTTTTTTTTTTTTTTACATTGTGTTGAAACGAACCCTGGCACCCCAAAGGTGCTTTTTCTAGAGGCCATTTCCCACCATCCAGTCAGAACTGAAGAAGCTTCTTGGATAAGAAGTGAAACATCTTCACAGAAAAACCAGAAAGTCCAGTTGTCTCTTGGAAAAAAAACACCTTTGAGACAATTGTGACTGGATGTCCAAGAACCTCCATAGGCACCCTGGCATCATTTAATACTGATTTTCTCTCTTTATTAATATTCCCAACCCCTTTTCTAAGAATATATGCTTTCCTTCAGGCAGAATGAATACTGTAAATTCAAAGTGGTAGTGTTATGTTTGCTTTGTAAGACATCTGATTCTTATTTTCTGATGAATACTGTGGTTTTTTTTTCTCTGTGTTTTGGCTAGACACTGACTCCGGATCGGACTCAGATTCGGACCGAGAGAACACCGGCTCTGTTAGTAACATTTCCGGTAGCGAGAGCGACCGAGAGGATGATCAAGATGCTTTAAAACCCAGCAATAAAGAGTTGTTCGGTGAAGACAGTGAGGACGACGGTGTGTCTCACCACAGCGGCAGCGACAACCAGTCCGAACGCTCCTACATTCATTCTGAAGGCTCGGCGCACTCTGAACACGAGGAGAACGACCAGTCCGAGATCGAACAGCACAGTGGCTCGGAAGCTGCGCACGATGAGGAAGACGATGAAGATCGCAGATCAGAGGAAGGAAGCCGCCACTCTGAGGCGGAAGGATCCGAGAAAGCCCATTCCGAGGATGAAAAATGGGGCGGGGAGGACAAGAGCGATCAGTCGGAGGAGGACGAGAAGCTCCAGAATTCAGAGGACGAAGAGCAGATTCAGCATTCCGACGAAGAGGAGAAGAACTCTGATGACGAAGAGAGGACCCAGATCTCGGACCACAAGGAGAGGATGGACCAGTCTGATGAGGAAGATGAGAGACCCCAAGTCTCTGACGAAGAGAAGCTTCAGAACTCGGAGGATGAGGAGAGGCCGCGGAATTCCGATGAAGAAAACATGCAGAACTCGGAGGACGAGGATGAACGGGTGGCCCACTCGGAAGAGGAGAAGCTTCCGAATTCAGACGACGAGAGGCCTCAGCATTCAGAGGATGAAGAGCGCCATTTGTCTGAGGAGGAAGAGGAACGCGAGCACAAATCGGGTAAAAGAAATGGGGGTTTGTGGATGAGTGCGAGATATATTGAAGGTTTAGCCTTCGTGTGGGTTTTCTTTGATGCCTTTGTTGAACCTGGTTCTCTCACGAACTCTAGCCATGCTGCTTTGGAATGATGGGAGTTTTAGCTAAGCAAATCCAAAGGGATTCCTAGGTTGTTCCATTGATCTTGGTTATTAGGAGCCATGGTGGGGCATTGGCTAGAGTGCAGTACTGCAGGCTACTTCTGCTGACTGCCGGCTGCCTGCAATTTGGCAGTTCGAATCTCACCAGGCTTAAAGTTGACTCAGCCTTCCATCCTTCCGAGGTGGGACCCAGATTGTTGGGGGCAAGAGGCTGACTCTGTAAAACCGCTTAGGGCTGTGAAGCGGTATATAAGTCTAAGTGCGATTGCTATTATGCTCAAAACATTGCAAAAAAATGTAGCTGTTCCCCCCAGGCTTTGGGTTAAGACAGTGTTTCTCAACTTCAGCAACTTTAAGCTCTGAAGACTTCAACTCCCAGAATTCCCCAGCCAAACCTTGCTGGGAATTGAAGTCTTCGTGGCTTAAAAGTTGCTGGGGTTGGAAAACTCTGGATTAGGCTGAGCTGAGAGCCGGCAGAATGTTATCTCTTAAAATTCTCCTCTGGGCTTTTGTTTTTGCATTATTATTATATTATACACAAAAATGACAGTATACACAGCAAACGAGATAACTATGCTGGGTTTCATATCACAAATCACTAGTCGAACACTTCCCAAGCGTTTAGGACTGCGTGATGGCGGATTATGCGAGCAGAATCCAGTAAGGTGTTATCTCTTAAAATTCTCTGGGCTTTTGTTTTTGTATTATTATTATTATTTTCTACTTTTTAATTTGATAAGCCATGCAGTGTGGTCTCTAAACTGCAAAGAGAAATGAAATGAACCCTTGCCACGTGGGCATGTTTTTCCTAGATAAATCACTGTCAGCAGTTTGTCACTGTACACGGCATGACAGACTTTGGTTAAGCAAAACTGACCAGCTATTTTTCTCAGAGATGAGTACCTTCAGACCTGCTTCTCACAGTCTGCTTGATTTATGTGGCCCCAAATTAGGTTTTAATTGACATGCAAATATGGGGGAATCAGCATGCTGATGATTGTATTCTCTAGCATCTTGAGGGCTCCAGCTGGAAAAGCTAGTCTGGGAGGGTGTGTAACCCTGGATGGAAGGCTAAAAAAAAAATTATGTTCTCACAGAATCGCCAAGAGGCAGCGACAGTGACGACGATATCCCCCAAATGAAGAGCAAGAAGCGAATTGCATCAGATTCCGAAATGGAAAGCGATGCGGAAGGACAAAAAAGTAAGCGACGCGTTGCGTCCTCCTCTTCTGTTTGCATTGCGCTTTGATTTTAAGTGGCAAGCCACTCTTCTTTGCCTCCAGTGGCCTAGTGCAGAGATTTCCAGGCTCGGCTGTACATTTTTAGCCCCCCCAAAAGTGTCATAGGTGTAGTTTCACAGGGCTCTATGGGTGGGGCTGTAAGAAGTTCTGATGTTCAAGCACTGAAGGTTTCCTTTAAACCACTATTTGTACTGTGGACTGGATCCTTCACCCTGATCCAAATTCTCCAAACCTGGAGGTTGCAGCAAATCCTATATAACAAGGGTCTTCAAACGTGACAGCTTTAAGACTTGTGGACTTTCAACTCCCAGAATTCTTCCTCCAGTCATGTTAGCTAAGGAATTCTGGGAGTTGAAGTCCACACGTCTTAAAGCTGTCAAGTTTGAAGACCTTTGCTATATAAGATGTGCCCAAATTACTACTTCGTTTGAAAAGAAAAGAGAAATCGTGTTACTGGTCTTTTTTAAAACCAGTGAATTATTTCCTTCTCAGCTTTCCTCCTAAGAGATCATCTGACAAGGCCATATATATCCCACTGAGCCACTCGAAAGAAAGGATGTTCTTGTGTAGGAGATTGATGTTCTTGTGTGTGTATTACTGTTTTGCCCACTTGGTTTACTAACTTTAGGCTGACATTTGAGCCTTGTTCTAAACCAGCTTCTGGTCGACTCCATCTCTGATTTTGTAGGTCTCTCATTTTTCCTTTTGCCAGGTTCGCTCGTCTTTTTCTATACCATAATTCTTCTGTTTAAACTTCTGCTTAAGATAACAGAGACGCCATGGATTTGTTTGGAGGAGCAGATGATATCTCTTCAGGAAGTGACGGAGAAGACAAGCCACCAACCCCAGGGCAGCCTATTGTAAGTAGAGGTCCCAGCATTGGTGGCAAAGAATAGCCTTCTCTTTTGACCCGGTCGCCTCAATAAAAGCCTTGATCGGAAACTTTGAGATGAGATTTGGATCCTTTGGTTCTAAAGATTGGATGCTGTGCAATCATCCTGTTAGCCAAAGAGTAACGATAATTCACAGCTGCTTTCTGAAGGGATCACTGAGAATTAATCTTCAGCACATTAGTCTGTTTGTCTTCTACGCCTGCATTAGCTGCACCACCTTGGAGATGTGGAAAGGAGGGGCACTAGGAACATAACAGACAAATTTTGTCTGCAGAGGAAAACCTAAAATAGACTAAAATAGAATAGAATAACAGTTGGAAGGGACCTTGGAGGTCTTTTAGTCCAACCCGCTGCTTAAGTAGCAAATCCTACACCACTGGCTATCCAACATCTTTTTAAAAACTTCCAATGTTTGAGCATTCACAAATTCTGGAGGCAAATTGTTCCACTGGTTAATTGTTCTAACTGTCAGGGAATTTCTCCTTAGTTCTAGATTGCTTCTCTCCTTGACTAAGAGTAAAGAATCTCAAAGTTTCTTCTAGTGGTGGCTTTGAGCCTCTTGGTTAGCTTACTTCACAAAATAAAATTTCCAAGTTCCCATGTGAATTGCCTTGCATGCAAATGTAACATATCATGTAAGAGCATGGAGTAATAAGGAAAACAAGATTGCAGACAGCTGAAAAAGCAGTATTCTAAAGATAGCTAGATTTGAAGCCACCAAGTAGTTGGCATGTATTTATCCCCAACAACTTACTCAAGATACGCACATATATACAGTACAAAGAGGAGGAGGCGTGCACCCAAATCAGTAGTGTCCTGTTAGCATCTATCCTTTTCAAGGCAAAGGATGGCAAGATAATTCTTTGTGGCTGTTTTACTTCCTCATTTAGCAGGAAGCCAACCTTTGCTTCCTTCCTGTAGCTAATATTTTAAGCAGGCCTCACGTTGAGTCCATGCATCCGAATTCTCAGTAAGAGAACTAATAAGAAAAGACCTGAAGCACAAATATACAGAGGGATATTCAACTCAATTTCATAACCGATTTGAGGCCTTTTCTTCCTCCTCTGGATTAGGATGAGAATGGTTTGAATGAGGATCAGCAAGAAGAAGAACCCATCCCTGAAACACGGATAGAAGTAGAAATTCCAAAAGTCAACACGGATCTGGGAAACGACCTGTATTTTGTAAAGCTTCCCAACTTCCTCAGTGTGGAACCCAGGTAAAAAGGAGGGGGAAAGTCATAAGCCGAATCTTGGAAAAATGCAGGGAGCCCTGGACGTACGACCACAATCAAGTGCTAAGTGAGATGTTTGTTAAGTGAATTTTGCCCCGTTTCACGACTTTCCTGGCCACATTTGTTATGTGAATCGGTGCAGTTGTTAAATTAGTTGCAGCGGATCTGGCTTCCTTTTTGACTTTTGCTCCATCGCCACTGACACATTCAGTCACATTCCACATTCAGCCACATTCAGTCAACCCTAACCCTGCTGCTGACTTATTTATTTAGCATATGGCATCTACAGAAGTCATGCAATCACTAATATACAAATTTAATTTAAAGCATCAGAATATAGATGTATGTTTATGTGCGTGTGCTTGTGTAAGATAGGTAGACAATACAATATAGGAGATAATAACTTGCTGTACCTCTGTATGGTTTGCCAATTGCACAGTGGCAGATAGGACAGCACTCCAGAGGGTTAATGTCATTGCCCAGAAGATCATGGGTTGCCTTCTCCCCTCTTTGGAAGAGCTTTATAGCTCCCGCTGCGTTAAGAAAGTTCAAAACATTCTCAAAGATCCATCTCATCCTGGGCACCCTTTTTAAAAACTTATTACCATCTGGCAGACAGTACAGGATAATAAAAACAAGGACAAATAGGCTGAAAAACAGTTTTTATCACAGGGCAGTAGCTCTGTTGAATTCTACTGTATAGTGCAGTGTTAGTGCAGTGTTGGGGGTTTTCGGTTCAACGTGTGAAATGTGAAGGATGTGTGTTTGTGTTTTGTTTTCAATGTGCACTGAAGATGGTGTTTGATTTCACTGTACAAGGTGCAGTGACAAGTAAACTAAACTAAACTTTAAATTAAGATAAAACCATAATAAAATCACCCTAATATGGAGCCTCCTAGAATTGCAGTGGGATTTTATAATCCAATATCTAAAGAAGCTTAACCTTCTCACGGCTTCTGGTTTGGCTGTGGTGAGATCATCCCAAGTGCCTTAAAAAAAATCTTAGCTGATGATTGTTCTCTTTCCTTTCACCTTTTCCAGCTTTTGAGCCATTTCAAGCAAGCTAGTCCTCTTTACATAATACCAGCTCGGTACCCGTGCTTCGCTACGAAACTATGTGATCGGGCTTAGTTTTTGGGGAGGAAAATAAGGTGGGAAAATTCTGTCTCTGCTTTTATATATATAGATGTCCCAAGTAGGGTAATACTATGAGCCTGGTCATTTGTGCTTGGAGTGAGAGAACTCTTTGACTGGATTTGTGCGATCTTACTGTCCCACAGGCCTTTCGATCCTCAGTATTACGAGGATGAATTTGAAGACGAGGAGATGCTGGATGAAGAAGGCAGGACGAGATTAAAACTGAAGGTAGGGCTTAGAATCCCGGGGCGTTCCTCTTCCCCTACTTCTCTTGCCTGACTGCGCAGCCATTGTCTGCTCCTTGACTGCAATCCTCTTTGTACCCTTTTGTGCCTCGAAAGGTAGAGAACACAATACGTTGGCGAACTCGCCGAGATGAAGAAGGTCAGGAGATCCGAGAAAGTAATGCACGAATCGTCAAGTGGTCTGACGGGAGGTAAGCTGACGCTTGGAAAACTGTGAAGCTTAAAACATGTTTGGAGGCGGAGGGTAGAAGAGATTATTCTTAGGGGAGATTTTCCTCTTGGTTTCAGCTCTTTGGTCCCATTAATTGAAGGCGAGGAAAACTTGAGATTGTCTTGAATGGCACCAACGAATTTAGAATACAATGCAGTGCAGTGCAATGCAATACAATGCAATTCAAAAGAATACTGTAGAATAGAATTATAGAATAGAATAGAGAAAATAGAATTAGAATACAATACAAAATACTGTAGAATAGAATAATAGAATAGAATAGAATAGAATAGAATAGAATAGAATAGAATAATAGAATAGAATAGAATAGAATAAAGAAAATAGAATTAGAATACAATACAATACAAAAGAATACTATAGAATGCAATACAAAAGAAGAGAAGAGAAGAGTTGGAAGGGACCTTGTAGGTCTTCTAGTCCAACCCCCTGCCTAGGCAGGAAAGCCTACTCCACTTCAGACAAATAGTTGTCCAATCTCTTCTTAAAAACTTCCCATGTTGGAGAATTCACAACTTCTGGAGGCAAGCCGTTCCACTGACTAATTGTTCTCACTGTCAAGAAATTTCATCTTAGTTCTGGGTTGCTTTTCTCCTTGATCCGTTTATCGATGGATTAATTATCCTCTCTTTTTGAAGCATGTCCTTACACTTGGGGAACGAAGTCTTCGACGTCTATAAAGCCCCCTTGCAAGGAGACCACAACCATCTCTTCATCCGACAAGGGACGGGACTTCAGGGACAGGCCGTCTTCAAGACCAAATTGACCTTCCGGTAAGTGTGCAAATATTTTAACGGCACGTCCTTTTTCTTTCAAAAGGTACCTTCCCTCCCCTAAGCATTAACTTGCTTCATTTGTCGCAGGCCACACTCCACAGACAGCGCCACGCACAGAAAGATGACCCTCTCGTTGGCGGACCGATGTTCAAAGACGCAGAAGATCCGCATTTTGCCCATGGCTGGCCGCGATCCGGAGTCGCAACGCACAGAAATGATTAAGGTAAATATTATCCTTAAACTCTCCCTTTTCCTTTCCCTTTCCTCTCTTCTCTACAGTAGCCAGAACTGTAAATTTTGGCTGCCTTGTTTCTTAGCCTTTCTGCTCAAAGTCTGCAGATCTTTGATCTCTATAGCAGGGGTCTCCAACCTTGGCAACTTTAAGACTTGTGGACTTCAACTCCCAGAATTCCTCAGCCAGCAAAGCTGGCTGAGGAATTCTGGGAGTTGAAGTCCACAAGTCTTAAAGTT